GTACATGCTTACTGCGGTGATTCAGCATCACTTGAAGGAGCTACGGGCGTTGTCTGCACCCAAAGAGCGAGATCGTATTGATCTCTTGCTCACGAGTTTCTACGTTGACGATTTGGTCTCTAGTGTCTCAAATGCCTCGGAAGCCAAGGAGATGCAAGAGTTCAGCGTGCGTGTGCTTACGGATGCTGGCATGGAGTTACGCAAGTGGCGAGGCAACGAAATCCCGCGCGATCCAGAGGGCGGAGATAAAGTCCTCGGTCTGAAATGGAAAACCAGTGATGACTTGCTCAGCATAGCAGCGCTAGGCGAGTCCGATAGGCCGTCTGTTTGGACCCGGCGATCCCTCCTCAAGTGTGTTGCATCAGTGTTTGATCCGCTAGGTCTAGCAGCACCGGCAGTTGTGCCGGGAAAGATACTGCTACAGCAAGCCTGGAAAGTCGGAGGTGACTGGGATGATATGTTGCCTGATGGCATCGTAGCCGCATGTGCGCAATGGTGGGGAGAGTTGGCCGAAGTGGTGAGCATTGACATACCACGTTGGATTTGCTGCAATCTTGACACACCGATTGCGCTTCATGCCTTCGCCGATGCCAGTGAGAAAGCATTTGGATGTTGTTTGTATGCAGTCGTCAATGGACAGTCGCACTTGGTATTTGCCAAGGCCAAAGTGGCACCTGTGTCTCCGCCCACGTTAGCCCGCCTTGAGTTACAAGCAGTATGTCTAGCGGCTCGCTACGCTGAGTTTGTGGTGAAGGAGCTGCGTGTGACCGTCACGCAAGTCTATGGCTGGACTGACAGGCTCACTACCGTTCATTGGATCAGTAATCCATCGTACAAATGGAAAACATTTGTGGCTAACCGCGTCAGTCAAGTCCAAGAGATATCGAAGAAGGTCGGCATTGTGTGGAACCATTGCCCGGGCCTTCACAACCCAGCAGATTTACCGTCGCGTGGGAGTAGTGCACAGCAGATCCGTAGTCCGTTCTGGAGGGGCGGACCAACCTGGATCACGGAGCCCAATGACTGGCCCACCGCATCCTCAACCGCAGCTACAGATGAGTCCAGTGTAGAAGTACGAGTGTCAGCCACCACCTGTAGTCGAGAATCTGATAAGGAATGGTGGCTCCGATTCAGTAAATGGTCGAGGGCACAGGGCATGGTGACTCGGATGTTGCAGTGGAAGCACACTGAGCCTCGTGCTGAACTCTATTTTGCAGCAGATAACGTATTGTACCGCATCGTTCAGGCCGCATGTTTCGCTGAGGATCTTGAGCTGATCAAGCAAGGTCAACCAGTGAAGCCCGGGTCGAAGGTGTATCAGCTTGCACCGTTTCTGGATGAGCAT